TTTCTAGGGACGATTGCATTTATTAACGCCACGCAATGAAAGCTTCATTAGAAATTCTATTCCAGTAATAATTTAAATTTCAGAAGTAGATAATGTCTAAAAATAAAATCTTAATCTACTTTTGTTTGATTTTTGAACATCTAAATTGAAAAATACTTTCTCTGGTCCTTAGCAATATTCCTAGTTTAAGCAGATTTGATTTTTAAGGACTTTTTAAAATTGCTAATCCATAAAAAATAAAACTTATTTTTATTGACTTTTAAAAGTTATGCACAATTGTGAAATAATTTAATAAATCAACTTTTAGAGACATTTTTTCTTTTTTGAATATTTTGTTAGAGGAGAAAAACAAATGAAAAATACTTTTTAAAAGGTGTCCTTCATTAATGGAAAGGTTAGAGAAGTAGAAGTGATAAAAACAAAACAAAACAAAACAACAAAAAAAAAAAAAAAAAAAAACGAACAAACTAAAATCATGAAAACTTAAAACCCAACTCAATAAAGGTTCTATTCAATAATTTTAAAATTTGTCCTCCCGCCACGAGGACACAAAAAACAGTTACAAAAATAAGTAAATAAAAATAAATAAAATTAAAAAAAATTAAAAAGTTTCTATATAATTGTTTTTTCTGTACATAATTATTGCAATTCAATTCATTATTACTTCCAAATAACATTAAAATTTTATAATTTATTATTTGTTTGTTAGTTTAGTTAAAGACCTACTTAATTTTCTTTTCCTTCATGTTTTTTTTTTTTTTAATTCATTAACTATGATTTGGTCGGTAAAATTATCGATCTTCTAAGTTATGAAATCTCAATGCACTGTTTGAAAATACGACTCAGTAAAGCTTCAATTTTTATTTCTACGGTCAACAAGATAACAAAAAATCTAGCAAAGCAATAATGAGTTTGATCCTCACTGGGATCTTCATACTGAGTTTAGTTAGTAAATAATTTTATGATGGGGATGCTGAAAAGTTTTCGGACAGAGCCAGTTCCAAAGATTTGACCGAAAATCAGATTTCTTTACAGAGACTGAAAAAAAAAAAAAAAAAAAAAATGAAAAGGCTTCTTGGTCGACCCGAAAATCTTTCAGCACCTCCTCTTAATTATTGGTATAAATTATAGAAATGTAACAATATCAAATGAACTATGAAGTAGTTGGGGACAAACAACTTTCAAGCAATTAATTAAAACCTAAAAATTAGTCAATATTGAATAACTTAACTAACTTAAAAAAAAAAGAAAAAAAGTTCATTTTTCAACTTGCAAAAAGGGAGTTAACTCTAGGCAATAATGGGAAAATGAACAGTTTTTCTTTTTGACGTAATACTAATTTAAGAATTTGTATAAATAAGAATAAGATGTAATTAATATTTTCATTAGAACGAAAACAAGGCTATTTAGTAACAATTTATCTGATGAAGACTATGTAGATAAACGTTCAATTCGACCGTAAAAAAAACAAAAACAACGTCTTGGATATTTGAAGCACAAATTGACAACGTCGTAAAAAGTGGATAAAAAAAGTATTACTGAACAAAGTGACACATTTATAATCGAAATTAATGGAGGAATTAATTTTATCGAACTATCTTGAAAGAATATGAAGTAACGATTATTATAATTTTTGAAGTTCGTATTTTCTAAAACTTCATATATTGACGCGAACCAAGATTAGAATAATAATAAAAAAGGTTCTTGAGTTAAGGTTACAAATAAAACTTGAAAGTTACCACGTGGTGGTCAAATACCATTATGATTAAAATAAAAATATAAAAAACAAACAAAATAAATGAAGTGAAAATATTTAGTAAAATATGAATGTAAAAATAAAATGAAGTAATTATTTTTATTTTAGGAATCGAAGTAATGTTTTTTTGATGACTACTGGAGAAAAAACTTTGGATTTATTTAAAAAAAGGAGGGGGACAATAACGATTATTATTGCAAAAAAAAAAATCTAAATTTATTTCATCTCGTTGATTTCTTTGTGCGAAATTTTTTTTTGACGTTTTAAAAGTCGTAGCCTCAATTCAATATCACCTTTGCGTCAAGGTTGACAAAAGTGATTTATCATACTGTTGTTAAAAACATTTTTGCTGAGATAAAATAACTGAAAAATGCTTTATTCATTACATTCGCAGACTATGTTGGCATTCAATGTTGGTAAGTCATCAGGTGGGGGAGAAGAAAAGCGCAACTTTCATGAAAGAACCTGGAGTCACTTCTGTCTCCTTACAAAATGGCTGGAAGTTGCGAGTAGTACAAATTTACGCACTTTAAAAAAGTAACATTGATTTTCATCTTGAAGAAAGTAATTGGCACAAAAATGGTCATTTAGTTGATAACTAAGATTTTTGACTTTTTATTTTTCTAACAAGAGAATCTACGATAAAAAACAGCTGTTAATTTTTTTTATAAGCATAGCTAACTCAGTGATTTTTTTAAATTACGTCACACAAGAAAGTGACTATAGAAAGTTATTTTAAACTAAAGTTGTCATTGTTGCATATTAAGAGTTTCAAATTAATTTTATAGAGATTTTATTAATTATATTTCGACAATGAGCAACAAAAACGTCATAATTTCTCTTGTAAAAGTAAAAGTGACTATTTTTAGAATATGTTCATTCCTCTTTTTTTAATTTTTTTTAAAAACCAAACAGATTGAAATTTCACTATGAAACAAAAAGTCTAAGTTCGGTGAGCAATTTAAATTTACTTACAAAGTAGTAGTCGCAACTGATGTATTTCCCAGCTAATGTTTCACTTCAGTTTAAAAAAAAATCAAAATGTATAATACACAAATGTTTTTACAAGCTAGAAAAAAAAAGGACAAATGGAAATACTTGTCAATTTGTGTGTAATAAGATATATTTTTGAAAGATTGGCGGTCTAAATGAATTCAGGATTTAAAATGACAGTTTATGCGTAAACGAAATTTTTATTCAATACATAGCTATTTAAAGTAGTTCCCACATTTTACAATCACAGATGAATAATGTTTTGAAATTGAAAATCTATTGACTTTTTTAACGCTAAAATTTACTTTGTCATGACAAGAACGAGCAGAGTTCAATATCGGGATAGATAATAATAGCTATATTTTTTTTAATAAAATTAACCTGGAAATTAGAACGATATATAATGGTTTTATGATCCCATTAAGCTGCCATTGAAAGCATCAATAATAACAATGTTTCATTTCAATAATTCCGAACATTAGAAAATATAAAATAAGAAAAAGAACTAAATTGCGTACAAAGAAATGTTTTCTCCATTTATGTCATGAGACTAGAGAGGAAACGGAAAAAAAGCAACGAAAACTATGTCATTAATAAAAGTACGGCTGTAACGGTAAAGCTGAATTGCAAAAATGGACACGTAAGTATTTTAGAATAACTTAGTAGTAGTAGTAGTAGTACTAGTAGTAGCATTTGTGAATTAAAAATGTAATAAAGAAGGAAAGAAAAACGAAAAAAAAACAAAGATAAATGGTGATGATTTGTCAGAAGAAAAAAAGTCAATGTTGTGTCATGTGAACTCTTGAGAACGTAAAAAGAAATAACCTGACTGTGTGTCATCATTGACTGGATCATAAAACAATCTATTCTAAAAAGCATGAATGATTTATTAATCATTTCAAAAATGTTTCTTTCTACCATCAATCTACAACGTCTTTACTTATCTTCCTTCCTAACATCGGTTCTAGTCATGTTGGGGTCGATAATTTTCCCCATTAAAAAACAAAAAGTAAAGTTGCTTTTTGTTTTTGTTTTTTTTTATACGTGTCAGTGTTTATTCAAAAAGTATGGCGTAAAAAGAAACAAACAACGGGTCTTTTCTTGTTTTATTTGAATCTTCGTAAAAATATATATAAATTAGGGAAGGAGGTAAAAATTAAATACAAATTCTCCAGCCTTTGTCATTGACGGTATAAGTAACAACAGCTGTCATTAGGATTTCGATTAATGATCAACTTATTCCAAATTAAAAACTTTCTCGCATTTTAGTAAAAGTACAAACACGATTGGAGAAAGAAAAAGTTAAGATTAAAGAACCATTTTTTAGGTCGTAAAAAACCGGTCGGGCGACAATAAGTCATGAATATAGGATAGGAAATGACTATTTTCTATGTGTCATCAAAGATCTCAGCTAATACAGAATGTTTTAACTGAACTAGGAGAGAAAAAAAAAGGTCAAAAACTATTTCCTTTGTTAATAAAACAGAAAACTGAAAAGTTAGGAAACTAAAGATTCATTAACAACTTAAATAAAAGCAACTTAGGAAAACTAAATAAATATAATTGAAAATAATTAGTTTATTTTACAAAAAGGACATTTAATCAAATTTCCGCATACAATGAGTCAGTGATTAAAAGCAGAAGAAAGAGAGAGAAAAAAAAAGAACACAGAGGAAGAAAAGAATCAATAACGAAAGTGACACCTAAGAGCCAAAGTAAAGAGTTTCCTAATGTTTAAATATAGTGTACAAAACATTTTTAGGGGTTGAAAAGGAAAACAAAATATGTAAATACGTGCCAAAGTTCAGTGATTAATGTTTAAACAAAGAAACAACAGAGTTTTTACCTCGTGTGCGACTAAAAAGCACGATTTTTATCCTTTTTGTTGTGGCGTTTGTACATGAAGAAATACGAAAAGTAAAACGAAAGGTTGGTTAAAAAGCCCATTAAAATCATTAAACTGAAAAAAGGAGGCGGATAAGAAATAAAAGTAATGAAATATCAGCAGATATGTTTGAAAATTAAAAGCGACAAAATAAATTCAAATTATAAAACATGAAAATATTGTATAAAAAGGGACAATGGTATAAAAATAAAAACATTGATTACGTCCCCCTCATGGCGATGAGAAATTCATGGCTCACTCGTGGTAACAAAGATTTTTTTTTTTTGTTCATAAATCGTATGAAAAATTGTACAATGATAACTAATAATAACAACAGCATAAACAAAAAGATATTTAACAACTTACTTTACAAATTGAATCCTCATTTGTATGTATATTGCGTGCTTTGTAAACATTCCGCCCTTCTTGTTCCCGTAGTTCGGTAAGAATATATTTTTCTAAGTGCAAAATGCCACTAGTTTTGGGAAATTCTGGTTGATACGACAATTGTAAATCAGGACTTAAATTGCCCTGGTTTGTCGTTGGATTATTGATTTCGTCCTCTGTTTTTTTTTCCTCCCTCGGGGAAACATTGCAAAACGGTGGTCCGAGTCTTGGTTGAGAAATATTCATAAGACTCATATGTGTGTAAAAAATTTTGCTAAATACCTGCGATACGGCGGCGCACGAGGTAGCAAATAAAAAAAAAATTATATATATATATATATATATATATAAAATATATATATATATATATATATATATATATATATGAGGAGACTCAAATTTCTCTGCTGGCTAAATAAATCTTAAAAGGTGATCAATTTCAATAAGATTTAAAACAAAAAAAAAGTTGAAAATTAAACTAGGATTTTAAATTCTTTTTCCTTTATAGGGAAAAAGTTAATTTAGGATACGATTTAGACTTTTGTACTTTTTTGTGTAATAAAAAAGTTATGTAATAATGATGATGATAATTGTTGGGAAGGTTAATATTTTTTTTCCACCTTTTTTTTATGGAATGTATTTGAATTATTATGTTTTTAATAAAGTGATCGCGATTTAAGTGATGTGTTTCGTCTTTAACAAACCAAATTGAGAAATGAAACAAATTAAATATAATTAACAATTTGTTGCATTTCCTGACGTTTCAAATTAAAGGTAAGTGAGAGAAAATAGAAATTAAATTTGCAGTAGTCGTGATTTATGACGATGAAGCAAGAAAGCACTTTTAAACCAGTTGATGAAAAAGTCTTATTATTCACTATGACGAAATAATGATTTTTACAGATATGCAACTGATCTGATAATTTCTGGTTTATTCTGTGTGTGTATTTTTAAAAAAATGTCACAAGTGTCGATGGTGAAATATTTTTCCCCGTGTCAGATGATTGCGAAATAGTTGATGACGACAATTTTTGTAGTGCGAATATTCTTGTGATTGGATCCGTGATTCTTAGAGCAATCTTCAAGAAAATAAGAATCAAGGTCGCACTCTGTGAAAACTGGTAACGAACATTCCTAGATATGCAACTGTAGGCTTCATTTTCGCAATTTACAGATAATACTTTAATCATTGCGTCAGCATTGAAATGAGTTTTGTAATATTTTTGTCGCCATGTTTTTTTCTTTTTTTTTTTTTCTTCCTAATAATGATTATGTCAGGAGTTCATGGCATTTAGAAGCTACACAGAACAAAATTTTTACTGTCCTGATTTCGGCTAAATGTTTTTTGTTGTTTTTATTCACTCGGAAATATTAATAAATTAAAAAATGTACAATCAAAATGAAATTAAGTGTCTCTAAATGAAATAAAGACTTTAAGCAATCATGGTGGTTGCTAATAATAAACAATCTTCATTTTTTTTTTTTTAAATTGAAAGACTAGAGAGTTAGTATATCATAAATGATACAAGCACATAATAACTCCTTAAAGTGTTATTAAATTAAATTATAAATCTAAGAATTTCCCATCGATTTGGTTGGTAACAACAAAAATTCCTTTTCATTCCTGTAGTGTAGGTATATAATTCTGCGTAAAATCTTTTGTGTTGCATTTAAGAGAAACTCCTTAGTGACACACTCCTTTGCATTGAATAATTCGAAATTTGGTATAATCCACGCATAATAGAAGAATATATATTTTAAAAAAATAGGAAGTTTTACCTCAGTGTTATCGACAAGTTCAAATCAGGTTGAAACTGTTTTTTTGGGTAAAATTTCCCTTATTCGTGTTTTATAAACAATCCAGAAAAATTATATTTGAAGTAGTTTTTGTTTATGTTTGCCTTTTACTACTACTTTTACTATTTTCAAAGCAGCTTTCTTTTCTTAAAATCTTTCCAAGGCAGAGAAGGGTGTGCAATCACACGGCACCCCTTCACAGCTCTGCTACAACACAACACGGAGCCATGTTCACGATAATATGTTCGTAATGCCGTGGCGTTTACTATTTGTATAGCCAAACCACACCCACCGTATCGTTAATAGCTACGAAGAAAAATTAGTTAGAAAAATCGACAAATACTTTGTTCTATGAAAAAGTTTTAATAGAATTTATTTTACAAAATGTTTTTACTTATTTACTAGATTTTAAACAATTTTTAAACAATAAATAAACTTAAAATATTAGGAACTATTTTGTATCACGACAGCCGGCTTTTTTGAATGACGTATTAAGGAAATTATTACGGTCAACAATGACGTCAAATGAAACGCGCGCGAAACTTGAATTGTCAAAGCAGAATATCGCGTCGATGAAGAATTTAAGGAAAAGACGTTTTATTGGAAATACATTTTAAAAAATAGTTAGCGAAAAGTTTTACATTTATAATTTAAATGTATATTATTCAATTGTTAGTCCATAGTTAAAGACTTAGTATATTTTTTTGCAGTGAAACACACGAAAAATATGACGAAAAAGTAAGTATTTAAAACAATAAAACAAAAAACATTGCATAATTGGATAATAAATGGCATTGAATAAGATTGGAGACTTGGCCGCTTCCTTACACCAGTCAAGATGTTTGATTTATTGGTTATTAGGAGAATATAAAATTGGTGTGAAATTAGAGAATAAAAAATAAACATCTAACTAAAAAATGCGAAACATTTATTAAATTTTATTTTATTTTATTTAATAAATCATTTATTAAAAATTTATTAAATGTTTTTTATGTTTTTTAATTATTGAAATAAGTTGATTTGATGATTCTTTTCTTATTGTTTAAATTTTTAAAAACTATCAAACAAAATTAATCATCTATTTACTATCTTCTTTTTCTTACGAAGAATATCTTTCTTTGCGCATTATTATTTTTTAAATATTAAATCAGTAAAAATTAAATTTGATTTACGGTGATGAATGTGGCAGAGAACATAAAACAAAATAAAAAACAAACAAACACTCCAACTATTTATTTAAGTAAGTGAAAGGTTATTTTTTTTTTTTTTTTTTTAAATAACAATATAAACAAAGAAAGGCAGAATATAGTTACTTAGTCATATTTATTTTTAAAATTTCCATTTATTAAAATTGGATAAAAACGCTCGGAGTTCGTTTTCGGAAGCTAGATTTCCAGGCAGTTGGGGCCTCTTTATCTGAAAGAATGGTACAAAAAAACAAAAAAACGATTTAACTTCTTTTCTCTGCATATTGACCGTGTACCAAACTAAGCCAAATAGTAAATATCTTTTTTTGTATCATATTTATTATCAATTTCATATGTGCAAAAGGTACTGCCCAGGGAAATCATTTTTACCCTCTAACTAGTTTACAACTTCTGTCAGAGACGTACCTTGCCTCTTGGGTTGTAAAAAAAGTTAATTTTTTTTTTTTTTTTTTTTTAAATATATCTGGTTCGGAAATAACCGGTTCACATAAATATTTCTTTGCACAGAAAACAAAAGAAAATAAGAGTTGTGTAAACAAATGAATAAAATTATTTTGAAATAGTAGGTGGAAGTTGTGATTAAAGTTCACTCTTAAGTTCTTTGTTGTGTGAAAAGAGGTAAGGGAGGTATGTAGGGAGAGTCTAGTATGCGTGGCAGTCAATTTCCCAACTTATTATCTGTGCATCTACATGTGAAAGGAAAGAAGATAGTAAGTGCTATAAGTTATGCTTGCTACGATAGTTTTTTTTTGTTTTTTTGTGAAAATATGCCATTCAACAACATGTCAATAGAAAATGATTGGAAAGCAGACGAAACCGCAGAGATGGAAAGTTGGATAAATCGGGGATTATATGACTGCGGGACTTCGAAAGAAAATCAACTAGCTTCTTATTGATTTATGATCGTAATCTATTGATTTCGGCTATTTATAAAAATTGATCAAACAAAAGAACCAATGTGATGAAAAATATTAATGCAACATGTTACGCACTTTTTTTTTTTTATTGGGTAGAAAATATCGATGAAGGAATTCCAAGTCGGAACGCTGTTTTACTTTCTCAGTGACCTTTATACTCGGACCGAAAGTTTTCTACCAGTATTCTTATGGGTTAGAAAATGTAATAATAGTGAAGGTTCAAATTTTCATAGTTCCGTGATTCTCTTTTTTGCACAATTGGAATTGTCATTATACTGGCTATCACAACTAGTTCACAAAGGGGTACTACTACTGAAAGTGAAAGGGTTGCGAAAAAAAAATGTATGCTGTTGAAAATTCGCATACTTTTAGAAAGACCACATCGTATAATTGAAATATTCGATGTAAACATTGTATGCATTTTTTTGTAAGCAAAAAGCATTTTTTGTATTTAACGTAATGTGTGTGTGTACTAAAACTTAATGCGTGTTGTGTTCATTTATTTTATGTTTACACAACAATAACAAAACACTTTTTATCATTGTAATATAAAATGAAAATGTAAATGTACATAAATCTTTCTGCTATTTAGATATTTTTTATTTCTATGTAGGCGCAAAATAACGAGATATGCAGGAAAAAAACACGAAAAAACAAAAAGCAATTTCAGGCGGTAGAGTAGTAGTACAATGATAAAATGGCATCACTGCTGGATGGGGGACTTAAGCAGTAATACTTCATGTGATTTTTTAAATTTTATTTCTCTGTCTTTTTTTATCTCTCAGTTATGCTACAAAAACAGTTTTTGGCTTACATTTTTAAATAAAATTTGATGCCTATAATAATACGTTACGTATCACCAAAGCCGGCACCTACCACCCCGAACCCTTTGATCGGGAGTGAAGGGTTTCAAGCCTGATAGGGGGCCTCGGGCCGTGCTTTGTGACCCACCCCCCACTATCTTATCAACATTTGCTTTTTCCTACCTACATTTTACACGTTACAAAAACTAAGTACACCTGACTATTTTCGCGGATTTTGATGTCATTCTGGGTTGATTTTTTTCTCGTTCAAATTCGTGAGTTCTTTTTTGCACTTTGTCTCAAAAAGATACAACTAGGAACCTTGACAACACAAGCTCCACCTATCCACTACTAACACAATATTATGGCAGGATTTTTTTAAATAGCAGAATTTTCTTTTGGTTTGAACGTTGCAAAAAAAAAAAAGTTTCTATCGAAAGATACAAAAGTAAAACGAACAAAATCCCACCACAAGCAAAATAGATTAAATAAAAAAAAATAAGATGTAAATATATATATAT